AGAGACCCGGGCCAGGAGGGAGGCGAAGCGCAGAGAGGCCCCACACCTGCCCTGCTGGGGCAGAGCACCAGACACCAGCACACGCCGGGAAGGGCCGGGGTCAGCTCAGCGGCACCGCACCGGCCCCGCAAGCGCAAGGTCCCGGGTTCGATCCCCGGGCACCAAAGAAGACAGAAGAGGGTGAAATGGAAAGACCTGAGTTCGTCTTTCCTGGCGGACGGGCCAGGGACACCGCCTACTGCTGCCCCCACTGTGACAGCGCTCCTCACGCATCCTAAGCGGAATCATAGCTTCTGTCTATTATTTTCTTATTTTACTTAGTTTTGCTTTGATACAGGGTCTCGCTATGTATCCCAGGCTGACCTGGAACTCACTACATAGCTCAAACTCTCAGAGATCCTCCTGCCTCAGTCTCCCAGATGCTGGGAGGTGTGCACCACCGCACCCAGCAACCTATGTCTATTTTATGACTGATATCTTTCATCTATCATAAAAAGTCATTTTTATCATTTAAAAGTCCAAGCATGCCAGCCAGGGACAGAGATGCACACCTTCATCCCAGCATGGGGGTGCCGAGGCAGGAGGATCAGCAGTCCAAGCCCAGCTTGGGCAACTTAGTGATATAGTGAAACTCCATCTTGAAATAAAAAGTAAGAAAGACCCAAGGTTCAGTCCCAGAACCAAAACAAAATGAAAAAAAAAAAAAAAACCCCAAGGAAATGAAAAAGAAAAAGGTTTCCACACTGGAAATCAAACAAGACTGATTAAAATACTTTTTTTTCAACCAGGTGTGGTGGTGCACGCCTGTAATCTCAGCCCTGGGGAGGCTGAGGCAGGAGGATCACCTTGAGTTCAAATGTGAGCTACTGGTGAGGCTCTGTCTCAAACAACAACAAACAACATTTTCTTTAACCCTGGCTGGCTCCGTCTCCAGGCCCACATCGATCATTAAACCTCTGCGGCTCCCTCCTCCCTCTGCAATGGGACCCACTGTGCCTGCGGGGCAGTGGCTGGGCTGACTGGGGCCACAGAGATAACCTGGGGCCCGGTGCTGACAATGCAACCAAAAAACCAAACACAACAAACAAACTCATAGGTTTAGCAAGGAAAGTACAAGTTGCAGCTCGAGGTCATGTTGACAGCTCAGCGATTGTCAGCAGTGCTGGGGACGAACCCAGGCCGGAGCGGGGAGGCCGGGCCCCTTTCACGGTTTTATTTACATTATTGCCCCTGTTGTTACTCATTTACAACACTGGGGTTAGAAGCCGAGGCTGCACACCCGGCAGACACCACGCCCCAGCTCCCTGCTTTTCTTCTGAACTTTGGGACAGCGACTCACTAAATTGCCAAACTGCCCAGGCTGGGCCTGAATCAGGGATCCTCCTGCCTCAGCCTCCCG